CATTGACTACTCCTATTTCAGTGTAAGTAAACTTCAAAAAAACCATCAAAGAATGCAAGTGAAATTTGAAAAAGATTCCGTCTGTAAATCATCCAGAAAAGTTGGTGACAAAAAGACGAAGGATCATTTAACATAGCAGAATAAAATAAACATCAAGCGTAATAAAAAAAGCTACAGTTTGTTTTAAAAATCTTCCTGGAACATGGCAACAACAAACATCACTAGAAGTCTTTTACTGGGCGGAGACCAAAGACTATTAAAAGATCGCACCGGCCACCAGCTAGCTTTCAGTGCATGACGTTCCCCAATCGATCGTTCATCTTTATTTAAACTTGCATCAGGCAACTCAAACAATTCGCAAATTCAAATTAATCTATTTATAACAGCTATACATTAACTGCTTTATTCAGCAACTGTGGTTTTACTGACTTACCGATGGCACCGAAAAAGCTTTGACTTGTAAAATTTATCCGTGGTTTTATTTTACTTTAGAGGTATTTATTTTGTTGTATTCCAGCCGAGACTAAAATTTTTGCTAATAAGGCACTACTTTTGATGTTGCTGCAATCACCTCCTAAATATGCTTTTTTTATTTGTCAACTTAGACCGAAATCCGGGTTCTGCCACAAAAATTCTTGGCCGTTCGGTTGGAAATTAACGTGAGTATAAGCGTATAAGCGCTTATGCTACTTCAACTTTTGATATTGTAGCATTAGGCTGACCACTGTGTGTTTATGTACGGATTACTATCTGGAGTGAAAGTGGATGGTTACGCTTTTGCTGCTCGAGTATGGCTTTGTTGGTCTTTTGTTTTGGTTTTTTTTTTTATTTATTATTCACGGTTTTATTGCCTGTTATTGAAAAAGGGTGTGCTTTTTTCTTTTCACTGAAACGTTACGCTTTTCATTTTAACTTTTTTTTAAATAGGAAAAGATTGGCATTCTTCATCTTAGCAAAAATTAAAATTGAACGATTTGTAACAACCACTTGTTTTTCTTCGCTTTATTAACTGTCTGGAAGATATTTTTTCAAATTTAAAACAATAGTTTTGCAGATATGTCTACTACAAAATTTCCTTATTTTTTTCATGGGCGGGTAGTGCATGATCATAGACGTGGCAGCACAGAATTTTCAATGCCAACAGGTTCCGCTATTTTACTTTTTTTGATTTCCTGTTCAGATGTTTTACAGTGTCTTTTTTTTTTTAAGCGTTCAGCATTTATACAATGTGAACAATGTAATATTTTACTTTTCAACAATGCACAGTACAGTAATCTGCTTGTTAGTTTTTAAGTGAATGATGCAAGCTTGAATAAATTTTTATTACGACGCAACAATTGCACGATTACCTTCTGACTTCTTAGACGGAGTCTATTACGCCATTGCGACGGTAAACAGTATGGTATGTTAATGAGTGTCGGTAAAAATATTCACTTTAACATGGAGGAGAGGACGATGGTGGTTAAATTTTTAAAAGTGTATAATGATTTTTGAAACACTACAACCTTTGAAGAAGGAAATTTTCTCAAGGAAGATTACCTACTTCATCAATATTCGGAACAATTTTACGGTGAAGAAGTGAAAGGAGTTGCTCTAGGTTATTTACGACCAATGCTATCGTTTCGAAATCTCAGTAGTTTTTTAGATAAACCTTACATTCTGACACTGTTTTTATCTTCTCGTTCCTAGAAAGATAGCCAAAATTTTCTCACTTTTTTTATTGTCACTTTTTAAATAAAATTTTACAAGGATTCTAACGGCTACTTGGGGTGAGCTATTCACGCTAAATATAGTAATTTTTGCAGAGGAGCTGATAGATACGATTCGGAACGATGTTGACACTGCCAAGAATCTGTTGGCGAAAGTTGATATTAAAAATTACAATCTAGATCAGTGAACGGACGAATTCGGAATGTTTAGCTACTGCAGATTTTAAACGCGAGTATAATTTTATCTTTTGCGCGCAAGGTTTTGCTCGACTTATCTGTGATAGTTTGGAGCTTATATAAGTATTTTCTCTTAATTTTCTGAGAGTCTGGTACTAAAGTGTTGTCTTAATTAACTCTTGTGGCGTTTCTTGAAAAGCTCTTGTCAGTGGTGCTTGGTAATGAATGCCTTCCGTGAATACAGTCTTAAAAATCTGGAAAAATCAAATTAGACCTTCATTTAAGCCTGTTACTCACAATCAAAACCTGATCATTTCTTGGTTTACTTAAAAGGACTTATTTGATTACAGCTTTCCAGTTACTTGTGTAGAACTTATTAGTCCTCTATACGGGGAGATCAAAAAAGTTACTGAAAAAGATATATTTTCTCTGGAAACACGTATTTATATACTCACTTACTCATATGAAACACGTACTTACGCACCTTCTCTGAAAACAACAATCATATATATATATATGGGCCATTCCACGTCAAATCGCAC